TTGCTACCATATGCTGACTTCTGAGCGGATTTCACCCAAGGGCTCTCGTAGCTCCTGTAAACGCGAGCTGGACATCGGCCCTGGCGGAAGCCAGGCAGATTCCTTACACTCCCCAAATCGATACACCTCAAAGCTCCTCAGCTCGAAACTCGTAAACCTACATCCCAAAAACACTCGCGTTGGTTCAAAGCGTTGCTGTGCGAAGGGGAAGTGCGCAAGCTACACAAATCTGCTGATAAAAGCAAAAATGAGCATACACATAAGATGAGTACTACGTGTTCACTTCCACAAAGCTTTAGAATGATGAGGTTCCATTGAGCCCATCCAAATTGTAGTCGCCCGCCGGTCCTTAAGCAAAGCTGCTGCGCCCACGGCGTTCACACGCGCTCTAGATCAACACTTGACGGTTTGTACATTCCAAACTACCGTAATTTAACGTTTCTGAGAGGGGGCAGTACTGCAGATGTCTCAGGTCTGCCTTTTTAACTACACTACATGTACATGTTTGACAAGGGCTCACCACAGACGGGCCTGCTGCCGTTCTGCGTCACATGCCAATTTTCAGAAGAAGCTCGCGACAGAAGTTGTTGACCCGTCCATGGCCAATTTGTGCACCCATATGCTTGGGTTCCGGACGGCCTTCGGCATACATCTTAAGCCCTCAACTCTTTGAATTAGCGAAGGACTCTGTGCCTTGTGAGCGCCAGCCGCCAAAGCTCTCTCCACCAGCATGTACAGATGCTGGTACCTGAAGACGACAGGCAAGGCCAAAAGGATTGCTGGTTCCAGCATGTCGGGTTGAAATGCAGCAGGTTCTGTCCATGATCCAGCCAAGGCTCCACTAAAACCAGGGAGAGTAAGTCTCAAGGCTGCGGCTCTCTTACATACACGCAAACAATCAGAACCCTAACCAAAGGAACTGTGTAAGGAAGGTTGACGCTGTAGTGCGATCAGTGGATGCTTTTCTGGGGTGAGTCGAACCCCCAAAGGGTCCTATGTAATCGTAGTGATTACTCACCCAAACCACAGAGACCATACCCTCTACCAAATAGATACTTTGGACCCTTTGTGCAAAGCGAGGCTCTGAACCTAACCCCCATATCCAAAAAACCTTCGGCCCTAACCCCCGAAACCTGTCGCACTAAGCGCGGAACCCTAAGCCCTCAACCCTGAACCTTAAACCCAACCCTAAACCCTGAACCCTGGACTATGGTTGGGGCACGCATTTGCAGAACGCTCCAAGGCACGACGATGCCTCGACTTTTGGGGCCAGTGGTTCAGGGTTTTCATGGCTTTTCTTACTGGTGGTAAGTAGGGAATATATGGGGGTTTCCCAAAATTCAGGGTACCTTTTTGGGGGTCCCAATAATAAGGACTATAGTATTTCAGGGTCTATATTGGGGTCCCCCTATCTTGGAAAACTACCATATTGGAATATCATCTCCAAACAGTCCCTATATTCATACGACCAGTAAGTTATGCTCTCCTGAAACGCACACACCATAAGTGCTTTTACCGATACCCCTTCAAGGAACCCAAGGTGTTCGCCAAAAATACACTGAATCCCTAAACCCTTAAACCCTAAACCCTAATGGGGCCTTTCGTTAAAACAGGCTTGGGCTGCAGCACTAACGGTGTGTTTAGGATTTTACGGTTTAGGGCTCAGGACTTAGGATTTGGGATTTGGAATCTGGTGGCTTAGGTTCAGTACTTGGGAGGGACACTTCGGGATCCTTTTTGGCAGGCTTCGTAACGGGTTTACGGCATACCTTGAACCCCTACACCCTAAAATTCTAAAACCCAAACCCTCAAACCTCAAACCTAAAACCACAAGATTATTGAAGGTCTTTAGGGTGTGAAGCAAGGCTTTTTGATTTTGAAGCCCTGATCGCCGAATTGTAGGGGGACTATGTCCCTGATGCTTTGCAGGCAAGGGGCGAATATGTTATAGGGACAATGAATAATCCCTAAATCCTTGGAAGGAGCATAAAAGGGATTACAACACGCGAGCAGCGAGTTTTGACTGACACGGCTACACGATTCACGGCTTAGCGCCTGCATCCCCGTAAACGAGATGGAGCCTGTATCGCCTTTAGGCGAGCCTAGGGTTGAGAGTTTAGGGCTTAGCAGAGCCTAGTATCCCCATCACTGATAAGACTCATGGGCATGTTTTGCAAGACGGGCCGCTATACTCCAAAATGGCCAAATCCCAATCATCATGAAAGAGCCCAAAGTTATGTAACAAAAAACTGTTGCAACCATTTAGGTACTGTAAGTCCGGCCCGAACAACTTGAAAAGCCTGCGGCTACACAAGCCCTACGCCGTAAAAAAAAAGCAGTTGCGCTCTGAACCCTACTTCTTCCTACACGGATCCCAAGCCCCCCAAAACTCCAAATCCTAATCCCTAATCCCCCCAACCCTAAAACCACAAGCAATATGTCTTTAAAAAACAAAAGCAGAGCGAGCCATTTGGGCTCCCGGCGCTCTGGCACTACGCTCCTCAGCCTGGCACAGTGGCTTAGAAACGCAGAGCAGGGATGAACTCAGAATACTGGGATCATGGAAAATGAAATGGAAACTACTATAGTATATAGGGGTTATAATAGGGGTTATATTAAGACAAAACGGAAACTAAAAGGATTTTCGATCCCAAATACTACAATATTAATGGTAATTATTTGGGCCCTAAAGCCCTATTATTTGGGTCCTTGGACCCTTAGAGGTGCATAGCTTCTGGGACTACGGTTAGGGCTTAGGGTGCAGGATACGGGTTACCTGTAGGGGGACGGGGGCGGAAAAGAAAATGGAAGGTACTGCGCTCTTTGGGTTCAGGGTTTAGGGGTTGATACTAAGAATCCTGCATGACCTTAGTTTGCTAGAATTATATCATACTTCCCAAGGTATCACGCTTTTTGGTATCAACCGTTTTAGGTTTAAAGTTTAAAGCCTAGGGGTTTATGGGGACTTAGGGTTTTGGGGCTTGAGGGTCGAGGATTTGCGGCTAAGGGTGGGTGTGGGGAGTTAGGATTGGATTTCCCTAAATCCTGAACCCAGAACCCCAAACCCTGCCCATCCGATGGTGTTTAGAATCATTGTTTTTCCAGCGTAGTACTAGAATCCCGTCTCCCACGTATTGAATCTCGCCGGCCGCGCTGTTGCCTGGAGTGACTTCTCTGGCTCCATGGCACCTTCGAATTGGAGAATGTTAGGTTTACGGTGCAGGGCCTAGACGACACCTGGAAAGCCAAGTTGGCCAAAAACAGTGCTCAGCTACACCTGCCCTAAACCCTACACCCCGGGGAACAGTCGCCCAACTCTGTTGTCTTTTGGCCCTCTGGGTATAACTCAGCCATCCATGCTATGAATCGTCGGAAAGTAAAGCTCGGCTAGTGAAAGCCTACTAGGTTTACGGGAACCCTTAAAACTAGGGGTCCTTTTCCCTACTGCTCGGTAGACCCCAACATACAAAGGGGGAAAAAGGCTACTACTGGGGTACCTCGCCTAAAGAGCCGGTCTGAAGCCAGCCCAAAAAAAAACAACTCATCATGGATGCTTTTTTGAATCGGACTTTGGGGGTTTGGGTGGTTTGGGTTAAGGAAAGTGTCATCTTGGGTCACGCAATTCTAGAATATGAGATTTTGGGGGCTTCGGGGGCTAGTTTTTGGTGAGACTAGTGAAAGTTCTGCGGGCATGCTGCTATTAGCATGCCATGATTCAAGGCTCTAGATTACCGGTAAAGGATGAAAACCTCTTCTTCTTGATAGCTTAGGTGCTCAAGCTTCACATAGGCTGGTGGCACTGTTGATGGAGGAAGCCTTGTGCTACACCGCATACCCCAACAGTGCCTGGAAACCCTAAACTTCAAACCCTAATACCCAAACAGTATACCGGGGACCCTGGGTGGTGCAAGTTTTTCCCCCTCCAACAGCCATGATGCAAACCAGCGTGTTCTGGAGACTGTCCCGCAGTTTAGGGGCCGGGCTTCTGGGTTCAGGCGGTTCAGGTGTCATGGTTTAGGGTTTAGGCTTTCGGGTTTAGGCTTTAGGGTTTAGGGTTTAGTGCAGAGACCCCTAAAGCCTACATCCTAACGAGGGTTGAGGGTGGATGGCTGGTATAGGAAGCCAACTAGGTGTGCTCAGTGACTGGATCTCCCAGAAGTTTGCTGACCTAACTTACTCAACTGAATCTTGAGAAGTGAGTTGGTACGTCCGAGGAGCTCGTGTATGAGATTTCAGCACAGAGCTACGGCAGGGGCCTGTTGAATTGGAACAGGGTCTTGGGTTATAGAACGTGATAAGTTTGGGATTCTGAGTAGCTCTGGTATTTGTTGAGCTCCATTTTACTTGCATATTTGATGCTCTGGGGCTCAAAAACATTCAAGGAACCCGTGTGGCAGAATTTGGCGCATAGCTCTGTCGGACAATGGCCCCAAAGCAATGCTACACAATCCGTATGATAAACTTGATTCCCATGTCACTTTACATGTGATTCTCCATTATTGGGGTTGTATACCTCCATATGAACCCGTCTTTTGTGTAGTTTTGCAGTAGGCCTTCTCTGTTGGTGTCGGGTTGAAGGCTCAGAGGCTACAGTCGGACTATAAACGGGCACTCCAACGCACACCTCCACCAAATTGTTCTCCCGCTCCCGTTTTCTGGCAGTCACCTCTATCGGCCCTTCTTCGAAAAAGCTGTGCCTTCTTTGGAAGTCTTCATGACAAGCTCCATGTTCGCTGCGATGTCCGCAGCAGACCCCGGCTTTCGAAAAACAATCTTTTGACAAATCTCGACCCGGCCCCCCAAAGCTTGACATGATGGGCCCCCAGTGCACAAGCTTCTGAGAAACATCAGGCTTGCCGGCCATGGCTGGAGTCTGGAACGAGATGTATGACAATCCTGTCTCAAGCTAAACCTAGACCCAAAACCCTGTGGCTTTTTTCAACACCAGGCCCTTGTCCGATTGCGTACACAGAGCGTGAAATTCTCCTGAAGCATGCTGCTCAGGCCAGCATCCCGATTCCTCAGGCATTGTACGGCTGTTGTAGGGTTTAGGGCTTTAAGGTCTAGGCTTTAGGGTCGACACTTGACTTGTTAAAACCAACTGTTGCTACCCTTGAAAGTGCTGAATTATGGCTAGATGCCAACTGTTGTCTAAAAATCCCAGGCAAGAGATATCTTTGAACCCTAAACCCTAAAGAGGCTTCGTGCCCTACTAGCCGTTAGCAGGGAGAAGGTTGCAGGAACGCTTATGAGCTATATATAGTCAAACTCCTAGTATCCTGCTTAGTAACCCGTATAATGCTTCCCTATGTATGGTCCTATATAACCTCCTGTAAGGACTTTAGACTATAGCCCTTATGAAAGGTTATAGGCTCAACTAACATGGCCCAATGTAGCCTACATATGCGCGCGAATCTAATCTCCCTGGTACCCTATGTTGCTATGAAGGGTCCCAAAAACCCAGGGGTTCAGGGCCGAGGGTTTGGCACACCCCTAGCGGCGAAAGCCCGAAACCCGTGGGCTTAGCGGTCTCGCATGGTATCTGTCAGCTTTCGCCCTTCCGTTCATCCCTGGAATTCTACCTCCATCCTTAGGTAAGGTTAAGGATATGAGCCATAGTCTAAACTCCTAGCCCCCGTAATAGTCCCCTGTATAATTCCCTATATAGCCTCTACAAGGAGTTTAGATTCTGCATGGCTCATATATAGTCTCTTGGTTGAGGTCGTGAGGATTAGGGTTTAGGTAGGATAACCCTTGGGCTGAGGTTGTAGGATGTCTGGTTCAGGGTGAAGGGTTGAAAGGGTTTAGGGTTTGGGGAAGTCTTTTTCCTGCAGCCTCCAAAACGAAACAGGTCCCACCCCTAAACCGCAAACCCCAAGAAGCAACACTTTGAAAGCCCAGCAACCAGCAATCGGGAAGTTCCCGCTTTGCACTGTGGTCCACAACAGACAGCATCCAATTCCTCGATTAGTCAGTCGCTGGATTTGAGAGCTTTTTGCGCTGCGCCAAGGTGTAGAGTCTACTTTAGGTGGACCCCCAACCCTGTAATAGTTACATAGTAGGAACATCATAGGACCTTTTTATAAACCTTAATCATCATGCCTTATAGTGACTGTTACATGGTGGGGGGTCCAGCTAAAATCTACTACTATCAAGTCCTGAGCAATTGTGGCGATCTGCTGGATGCATGTCTGCAATTTGTTTTTTACTCTTGGCATGCGAGCACTTTGGGTACTAAGTACATGTCAACCTCTGTATTTTGGGGGTTGATGGGGCTGCATTTGGAGGAGTCTCAAAACAACAGTATTGCCAGCCCTAAACCCTAAACCCTAAACTTCTTAAATTGTATGGGATCGCAAAGGGATCGTGGGGGCCCCCCAGTAAGAATTTCATGGAGGCGCACTTTTGAGAAATGGCAATTAAGCCCTAAACCCTAGACCCGAAACCCTAAACCCTAGGGAATCCCCTCTCATGGGGGCAGCAATGGCAAGGGAATCCCGCCCTCATTTTCTCCTCAGATTTTAAGGTCTATGGTTTATGTTTAGGGCTTAAGGTTTGGGGTTAGGGTTTAAACCTAAATTATCAACCTCAACCTTGAACTATAAACCCTAAACCCTACATCATGCACTATAACCCTAAACCCTGACTTATAAACCCTCGCGCTAAACCCTACATTTCCGGAGGCCTGACTCCCTGGGATTGGTGGTGGAATTTCTCGGCATGGAGGACTCGAGTCCGAGGGAACTCATGCTAAGCTTGGTGAGAAGTCAAGAAGGAGCCTCAACATATACATATAACCTCACACTATAGATCCAGCCTAAACCAAAAATCCTCTAACAAGAAGCTCTAACATCTGACCTAAACACCCTAGATCCACCCTAAATTCGAAATCCTTTAGCAAAACGGAGCAAGTGACCCTGCAGCCTGTAAGGACGCTGAAATCCATGCTGCCAAGGTACCGCGAACAGCAGTGACTGTAACTCCACAGCGGGTTGTCGCCTTGGCTCTTGCAAAAGGGTTTAGGGATCAGGGTTATAGGGTACTACCCTACACCCTAAACCCTAAACCCTATAACCCTAAACCCTAAACCCTATAACCCTAAACCCTATAACCCTAAACCCTCACCCCTATAACCCTATAACCCTCAACCCTATAACCCTCAACCCTAAACCACGTAAGATCCCCAAAGCATTGCAAGTCTTAGGCTACCGGGTACATAAGATGGCGTCATATTTTCCCAATCCACAGCAGGTTATGGGTCTTAGGGTCTAGGGTCTTAGGGTTTAGGGTTGGGTTGGTTCGTTTTGGGGGCTTCATAGTGTAAAGGTGGTGATTGCGCGTACGGGTTGAAGTGAAACACCCTTGGAAACCACCACCACACGGGAGTTTGCCTGACACACTGCAACAGAATGGGGGAGACCTATACAGGGACAGGTATTGCAGTGATGATCCGGTCTAGGGTTTAGGGTATAAACCCCCAGTGAAGCTGAGCACAAGCTGTGCAATTCCTCCTGAAGCTTCCTCGAATGCCACTGAAGACTAAACATGGACATGAACCCAATCCGGTGTTCTCGAGAGCTTGGGAAACTGTTGCACGGCCGCGTGCTACCTCGCCAACCCTTCCTGAGCCCCCAAAGACCTTCAGCTTTAAGACCCTATAGAGCCTATAACAGAACATGAACGTGCTATGGGTCTATGACTGTAAAGTTCGACTGGCCTCCACAACCCTAATCAACAAGCATAACTGCCAGCTTGAAATGCTGTCGGCACTGCCAAGTACCGCGCCAGAACTCTCAACACCTCCCGCTCCTACTAATCAACAGATTTTCCAAAGATCCGCCTGATGTATGAAGGAGAGGGAGAGAACGCTATTTTTTAAATTTTGCTAACTTTCATGCCTGTGGTTATGACGATCTACGATCATCATCGCGGGAACAGTCAGCACGGTACTTATAGTCGCAGTCGCTTGTCTGCCGCCGAGGCTGTAGCCCGTCACTCGTTGCAAGTCGCCTTTTCTGTGGCCAGTCTGCACCCCCTTCCCATTCCAGTCCCCGTCGCCACCACTGCCGTCGGAGTAGGACTAGGAGTAGAGGCAGGAGGACGGGAGGAGCAGGAATTGGAGTAGGAGGAGGAATAGCAGCAGTAGTCGTCGTGGTGGTGGTGGTAGCAGCAGCGGCATTATGGCTAGCTCATTCTTTGTGACTTGTCTTCCCATTTCTCATGGTGTGGAGGCCACTGCTGCTGAGTCACAGTCCGGAGATCCAAGCCCCGCTCGTTGGGTGCAGCAACTCCAGAAGCAAGGAGCTTGGCAAACCTAAGTGGGTAGTATGCGGTGGCAATGACAATCCTGTCGGACTTTAGTAGAACAACAACGAAAAATATGTGACATTTCCGGAGAAAGAAGGTGTTGAGCAGCATGCAAGAGTATACCAGCTATAGTCTAGACTCCTGGTATCAGTATCCCCCTTAACAGCCCCTATAGTAGTCCCCTAGATCATCCCCTATATCACCCCCCTGTAAGGAGTTGAGATTATCTCTCTTCCCCAATAACCAAGCCTAAAGCAATATCATAGAGACCCGAAAAGGGAGCCCAAAAAGGCTAAAGCTCTTCTATTGGCTAAGTAAGTTATTGCTCATATATAAGTATAGACTGCTGGCTGTTGAGCTGCTATGCTTGCAAACTAAGACCACCATGGAAGGGTGAAGGTGCAGGTTTAGTCCCTCGACCCTAGACCCTAAACCC